CCCCATTCCCTGTGCCCTGGACGAGAAAACCTCAGAGGTGGGAGGAATTAAAGGGTGGGGTGACAGCTTCTTATCTGCCTCTCTCCTCTGGATAGTGGGGATCTGCAGGAAGAAGTGAAACACCATGAGAGTAATGTGCTAATTTGCTTAAGTGACGCCTCCAGCCAGTGGTGTGATAAATGAAGTCCTGAGTGAGTGCTGCATCCAGTCTCTGGCCAACCTTCCTCCCCAGTCCCTTGCTGCCTTCCACTGCGGGGCCAGGAGGGGCTCGGGGAGGGGTTAGAGGGTAGACATTCTGATCTGGTGGCCTTGCTGAGGTCTAAGTGGATGGATGGCCTGGGAGTAGGACCAGCTGGATTTGTCACCACTATCCCACCAGTTCTGGGACCTGGCCAGGTCTCCTGACCTCAGCCTCACTTTCCTCGGCTACTTCCCTTTGGTGATAAGGCCAGTGCCATCGGGTGATACGGCCTCACGGTGGCCCTGTAGGACGGAGGCTCATCAGGCCTCCAAAGCTGTGAGCTTTATGAAAGGCAGCTCTGCTGACACAGTTAGGAGTGTGTTGTGCAGCTCCCTGGAAAGTTGGTAGTTCAAATCCGCTAGCTTCTCCTTGGGAACTGCATGGGGTGGGGAGGGGGTCGCCCTGAGTGGGAATTGCCCTGGTGGCCATGGCTGTGGTTGGGTGCAGGAACCACTGTGGAAGCAGAGTGCCACAGCATTCTCCCCTGATGTTTGCAGACCAGCATTTTAACCACTTCACCACCAGGGCCCCTCCTGTCAGCTGCAGGGCAGACGCACTACAGCCCGGCTTGGAGAGTCTGTGCAGATTTGAGACCCCACCCCCTTTTCCTGGGTGGCTGGCCTGATTGTGGGGTCCTGGGCTCACAGCTATCACTGCTGTGTCCTCTGAGACCCTGCTCAGCCATGTGGGCCTAGATGCGGGTCCACACAGGCGGCCTGAGCTCTGTTGTCCAGTGCTCCTGTTACTAGAGGGACTCACCTGACCAGGCTCTGCGGGGATCTGCTGGGGATGGGGCTGGGTGAAGGAGAGGACAGGGAAGGTGTGCAGACCTGTCAGCTCCCTGGGCTGAAGTGGTGGGGAGGACAGTCATCCTCATGGCCGACATGAAGTGCCCAGTGCTGGGGCCAGGGCTTCATCCTTCTGATGTCCACGGACTTTGACAGACACGTCACAGATGAGCATGGCTGTGGGGCCCAGGCAGGCTGCAGCAGGAGTGCAGGGGACTGGGTAAGGGACAGTTGGGACGGACAGGGACTGGGAACGCTGGACATTTGAGCCTAGACACTTCATGACTGGGCCACGGCTGTATGACTTAAAAATGTATCTGCTGCACACCATGTTTATTGCGGCTTTGTTTGCAATAGCAAAGACCTGGAAACTACCCAAGTGCCCATCAACAAACGAATGGATAGAGAAGCTGTGGTATATTCACACAATGGAATACTATGCAGCATTGAAAAACAAGGAATTCATGAAATATTATACAAAATGGGTGATCCTGGAGGACATTATGCTGAGTGAAATATCTCAGTCACAAAAGGACAAATACTGCATGGTGCCACTGTTGTAAAATGAGACTGACATCAGGGTTGAGGGAAGACAGAAAAGGAGGGGAGGAATGATGTATATTGCAATGAAACAGATAAGGGAGAGAACTGTTTAAAAGGGATCTGTGAATGGGTATTCTTGTCATGACAGAAGTCCAGAGTGAAGGCTGCATAGTGGAGTGGACTTGCGGGGAGGGATTGTATAACAATGAAAGTGTTTTTCTTTCTTTTCAAGAAAAGTGAATTGGGGGGGGGTTGGGTAGGGAGAAAAGTGCAACAATGAGTGACTGGAAACCCTAAGTCTCTGTGAACTTTCATTAAAATTAATTTACAAAAACTCCCAAAACAAAACATATCTACAAGGGAGCTCTGGTGGCCTAGGGGCAGGAAGCTGCACTGCAATCCCAGAGGCACAGGGTTCAAATCCATCAGATGCTCTGCTGGAGAAGGAGGGGCAATCTCCTCCTACACCAGGCAGATCTGATTTGATGGTACATACATTAAAAAAAAAAAGAAATCAAAGATGAAAATGTGTCTATTCCAGAAAACACAATGAAGGGAGTTTTATCGGGAACCACTCCCTTTTCTGGTGCTGACAGTGGGTTCAGGTTGCAGAAGTGCCTGTGTCACACACTTCTTCATTCACATGGTGTTTCCTACAGGCGTTCTCATGCGTGATGTGTTATATAATCAGTCACCGGTGGACCTTGCCCGTCACTACCTTGTCCTTTTGCCCGGATCCTTCCCATTTGCTCCCCCCATCCCACCCCCCTAGCAGACTGTGCAGCCCTGTGGTTTCTTTCACCCCTATCCATCTTCACCAGCAAACCAACTAAGAAAAAGAAAATAAGTAAGATAGAATGTAGATAAATGATTGTATAAAACACAATGTGAATGAAAGGTTATATAAAACAATGTATGCCAATGAAACATAATGTAAAGGAATTATTCTATGAAAAGAAATAAAAGTTTTGAAAAGAAATAGGACATCTGCACCCAGATATTTAATCAGATAAGGAATTATAAAAAATAAAACTGGAAGTTTTTTTTTTAAAGAGAGAGATTGTGCCTGTGAATGAGGCTGGCCTGCAGGCTTTTAATTTGCAATTTCTGGCCCTAGGGAAGCTGACACTTTCATTGTTGTTTTAGTTGTAGTTTTGAAAATTTTCAGTGTGATGTGCATGAAAGTCTGCAGGGAAGATTGTGACTCCATTCAGCCAACCCCCAGTTGAGGTCCCCAGAGTGTGACCACATTCCTCCCACCCTCGCCTAGGATTCTGGTTTCCACTCATCTTCCTGTCCTCTCGCCTTCTGAGATATCATGTTCCCTTTTCACCTTGTCTGGTGGATAGTTCTAAGGATCAAATGCCTTCCTGGCTTTATTCACCTTAGAACTGTGCCTATTTTGTGACAGAAAGCTGTGCTGCTGGTGAGTTAAATGCCAGGATCATAATCTCAGGGCTGGACAGTTCCTCACTGGACCAGTAAACCTGGCCCTTTTTCTGATTTTCATTTTCCTGTGTGCTCTATCCAGAACCCTGGATACTGGCCATCGGTAGTGGTAGCCGGACACCATGTATTTCTTCTGGTCTCATGGAGATTACAGGTCTCGAGATCCGTCATTACGGAGGATGAATTGTTTCCACCTGAGCTGACTGAACTTCCAGGGGCCTTGTACCTCTTCCACTTGGGGTCTTTGGTAATCCCAAGATGGTCTCACAAGGCAGGGATCACGGTTCCCACATCCTACGGGAGACAGTTGAGGCACAGGAAGTGAAGGGGTACCATGGTCAGTGGTAGAGCTGTCTGGGAATTCAGACCATCGGAGCCTCCGTCCATGTGCCTGTGTCTCTGTGGAGGGAATGGTCAGCACAGAGCGGTCCCTGTCCTTGCCCAGCATGGATGTTGGGTGGTGCGAGTCAGGGCAGCAGGCCGTTCTTTTCTGCCCACTTGGTCCTGAACGTCTCTCCAGGGGCAGATTGCCCCATAAGCTGTGGTCAGAGGACTCACCACCTCAGTCACGTGGATTTCAGCCTCGATGTGGTGAAAACGTGTGAACAATTCACTGTGGGTGAGTTGGTAAGGACCAGAACACCTTTGCTCACCTTGCTCCCAGGCCCAAGCCTCTTCCACACTCAGTGAGTGAGTCTTCCTGGAAACCAGGTTTTGGGGTGGTCCTTGGTGTCCCTGGCACTGCCTGAGACCTGTGAGCCTGGCTGGGCATTCACTTACTCCCTCCCCCCCATGCTTACCTGGTCCACTTCCCACAGGGAGAGGCTGGAGGAAGGGGTGGGCTTCCGGGTTGACCCTCATCATTGCCATTGGTTTAGACCAGTGTCCGGGGGCCATCACGATCCTCTCCAGGCTCATGGAGCCTGCCAGTGAATCTGTGGGAGGTGGGGAGTCCTGGGTCCAGACTGGATCAAGTTGGCTCTTTTGTGGATGGGGGACAGGGTCAAGGGGCTACTTATTGTCTGAGGGGACTGTGGACTCTGCAGCGGCTTCCCAGGGGCCCGCTGCTCACAGACTGCTAGAGGGCACCTGCTGAGGTCTGGTCCCTGCTCGGCATAGCCCCCCAGAAAGCAAGCAGGGAAGGCCCAGCTGTGGCGAACTGGTTTATGAGTCAGAAGCAAAGCTGGGTTGCCAGGGGCCGGCTAGTTGGTTCTAACTCCTGAACGCCCTGTGGCTGACAGAGCAGGGCACTGCCCAGACCTCACAGTCACTGCCCCAGAGAGCCCACTGTTGCCCATCGTGTCAATCCATGTTCTCAAGGTTCTCGTCCTTGGGGTTGACCCTCCACTCTGCCAACACAAGGTCCTTCTCCATGGACGGGCCCCTCCTGACGATATGGTCTGAGGACGTGAGACCCGCCATCCAGGTCACTAAGGAGCATCCTGTCTTCACTTCTCCCGGGACAGGCTGCCTTGACCTTGGTCAGCCGTGGGATGTTCTGTACTGGCCATTAGGGGAAAGCTGTGCTGTCGTCGCTGTGCTGACACACTGTCCTCCTGGCGTTGGACTTGACTTTTGTCCTGCACGGCGTGGGGGCCAGTGTGGGCTCTGCATTGTCCAGGGCTCTGGCTGGACTCTGTAAGAGACTTGCAGCTCCTGTCAAGACACAAAGTGCAGGGAGTCCATCCTCCGCGTGGTGGGACTTGGACTGGAGGTCCAGGGATGGTCTTTTGGGGGCCTGGCTGGGGGTGTCTGCAGCTGAGGGGTTCTCACCCTGCCACCCCTCCCACTGGTCTCAGGGGCTTGGGCAGGAAGGACTGTGGGGATGGTGACTGGCCTTGAGCTTCCAGTGAGCTGAGGGTTCTGAGTGGAGACTGAGTGGAAGGGCCACCAGCCATGTGTCGTCTGTCTGTCCCCGTAGGCAGCCTGTGGCTCCTGGAAGGGCCTCCAGCCGTGTGTCTGTCTGTCTGTCCCCATAGGCAGCCTGCCCTACGAGTATAAGATTGTGATCGCTGGCAACCACGAGCTGACCTTCGACCAGGAGTTCATGGCCGACCTGATCAAACAGGACTTCTACTACTTCCCTTCCGTGTCCAAGCTGAAACCTGAGAGCTACGAGAACGTGCAGTCGCTGCTGACCAACTGCATCTACCTGCAGGACTCGGAGGTGACCGTGCGCGGCTTCCGCATCTACGGCTCGCCCTGGTGAGTGGCCGCCGGCCGGAGCAGGAGCCCTGGGGGGGCGTCACCTGCAGGGCAGCCTCGGCAGGGTTCTCTCACTCTCTGTGCCTCAGTTTCCCCGTGTCTAGCAGGAAAGTGGTATGACAGGCGAGTCTCTGCACTGCACTGCTTCCTGTGCCCGCTTGTTGTCAGTAAGTGGATTCTGACTCTCTGTCCTTGCAGGAGAGGGTAGACGTGGATGGTGAAACTTCTTCTCTCCTACTTTGGGCGTGTTGCCAGGAGAGGCTATTCCTTGGAAAGGGACATCGTGCTTGGAAAGGTGGAGGGTCAGCAGAAGAGAGGAAGACCCTCAGTGAGGTGATGGACATGGTGACTGCCGCGGTGGGCTCATGTGCGTTAGGGATGATGAGGCCGGCACAGGACAGGACAGGGTTCAGATCTGCTGTTCATGGGGTCGCTGTGAGTCATACTCAACCTCACAGCACCTAACAACAACAACGACCTCCCCAGAAGTTACCTGCCACATCTTTCACCTGTGGAGCAGCTGGTGGATTCAAACCACTGACCTTTACATTAACAGCAAAGTGCCTTAACCACAGCACCACAGGGCTCCTTGTCTCACGTGACCTCAGACAAGAGCCAGCCCACTGTTGTTGAGTTGGTCCTGACTCCTGACGGCCCTGCGAAGGGTCTCCGAGGCTGTCGGTCTTTATAGGAATTAGTGCAGCACTTGTCTGTCCGTTTGCTGCGCTGGGGTAACTGGTGGGTTGCTGTGATGCTGAAAGCTGTGCCTCTGGTGTGTCAAATGTCACAAGGGTCACTCATGGGGGACAGGTTCAGCAGCGCTCCCAGAGTAAGACAGACTAAGAAGCAGGATTGGCCATCCACTTCTTAAATAGCAGGCTTCTGAAAACCATGCAAATAATAGAACACAGATAGTTATAAAATTACAGGATAGGACAGAGTTCAGGTCTGTTGCTCATAGGGTTACTGTAGGTCATACTCAGCTTGACAGCTTCTAACAACAACAACAAACCTTTATGGGAAGAGATGGCCTAACTTTCTCCTGTGGAGCAGCTGGTGGATTCGAACTGTCAACTTTTCAGTTAGCAACCTGACACTTTATGCCTTATACCACCAGGGCTTGTTCCTATGGTGGGCATTATTCTTATCCCCATTTTACAGAGAAGGAGACTGAGGCACTGAGATGGGAGGACCCAACTGAAGGTCACACGGCTAGGAAGGGGCGGAGCCAGGTGACTGGCAGCAGAACTCCTGCTTTAGCCATGACGGGCCCACTGCAGAGGTGTGGGTGAGGCCACTGTGATGCAGGGACCATCACTGTAAAGCGAGTCACACGTGTGTTGTGGATTACAGCGCCCGGCACAGTGGTGTTCACGCTGCTGTTGTCAGTGCCACTGAGTCGGTGCCAGCGACTTGCCTGGAGCAGGGTCCCCACAGGCCTTCAGAGTGCTGTGAGCGCGGAGAACTGAGGTTCCTGGCAGACGCACCGGGGAGAGGTCCACGGGGGATGCTTGGAGGGGGTGGATGCGGGGTCACTTTAGCGAGGGAAAGCTGCAGAGGGGTCTCAGGGGAGGTGGAACGCCTGCTCACTGACCACGTGTGGACAGCAGCCTGTGAACAAGCACATGCCCGCGGTCACTGGGCTGGGCAGGACGGCATGAGACGGGCCGCTGCTGCTCTGTGTGGTGGCAGGCGGACCCTGTGGCACCGTCATGTCTGGGGCGAGTCTGTGACGTGATTGGCCTGGGGCTGGACGGTTTTTTGAGGGGGAGGGTGACGTGTGTGCAGAGGCCTGGAGCCGTGGCCTGTCCCTGACACGGGGCCTGGGGTTAGGGGTGTGAGATCCTGCTTGGGAGGGGACGTTCTGCACTGGCTTTGCCAGTACTGGGCTTCCTTCCAGGGTGTGATCCCCAGCCTGGTCACCTCACAGTGTCCACTGATGGCCTCTACAGTCTTGCCTGGTGTTTTCTGCGTCTCCTACTGGACGGGGAGGTGGGAGCCTCAAGAGGGTGGGAGATGTGAGGTTTGTGTCCACGGGCTGCTCAGTGGGAAACGCCGGGGTTGTTGTGCAGGGATCGGGGTCAGGTGTCCCGGAGTGCCTGTCCCTCCATCTGTTTAACCATGAGCCCGCACGCTGACACGGGAGCTGTGCTTAGCACAACGCCTGCACACAGTTGATGTTAGTGCCACTGGGTCGAGTCCAGATCACAAGGGACCTGTTCTATCCTGTGCCATCACCATCATCATCTCGACGTACTAGAGCCCACCACTCAGTCTCCGTACATCAGTTGAGGGTCTTCCTCTCTTTCGCTGACTCTCCACCTTTCCCACTATGATGCTGCTGTCTGAGGAATAGCCTCTCCTAATAACATGCGCAGCATATGTGAGGTGAAGCTTTGTAATTTTTGCTTCCAGGGAGCACTCACTCTGGCTGCACCCTCTCCAAGACATTTCTGTTTGTTCCTTTGGTGATCCCTCCGTATTTCATACTCTCTTCCAACACCACAGCTGAAAGCCATCAATTCTTTGTCCAGCTCTCAGAAGCATGTCAAGTGATTGAAAATACTGGAACAGGTCTGAAACAGGTGCACTTTAGTCCTCAGACTGACATTGTTGCTCCTCATTTTGGAGACGTCCTTGACTGCATACTTTCCCAGTGCACTACGTCTCCTGATCTGACTGCCAATACCAAGTGTATTGACTGTGGATCCAAGTAAGTTGAAGTTGTTGACAGTTTCAATCTTTTCTCTATCATGATGTTGCCTATCGGTTCAGGGGTGCAGATTTTTGTTTTCTTGACATTGAGATGGAATCCATATCGAAGGCTGCATTCCTTGATCTTCTGCAGCAAGTGCTTCAAGTCCTCCTCACTTTCAGCAGCAAGGTTGGCACACAGTAGGTGCTCGATAACACGGTCTCCGTTCCCATAAGCCACTTTAATTTTGAGTTCCAGAAAAATGTTACCTGTAACCCAACAATCAGGGATGACCCAATAGTTGGTATTTTCCTGTATCTTCCCCCCGCCCCTTTCATTCTATCTGTTCCTGGTTCTCTCTTTTGCTGTTATGCACCTGTCTGTCTTTCTATCTACCTACCTACACACCTGTCTGTTACCCCTCTACCATTCACTCATTGTTTCTTTTTACCTTTCCATCATTGCTTTCCAGTCCAGCGATCATCTGTGCATCTGTGTTCATCTGCCTGTCCTCTCTGTCCTCTTGGGTCAGCCATCATCCTAGCTGTTGCTCTTTGTATCCACTCACCTGTCTTAGCGCTAAGCTCAGGCTTGCAACACATGTGAAGTTTTCCATCTTGTTTTGAAAATGTAATATTTTTTGCTATGAGCATTTCCTAAGCATGGAGAAATATCATTCAAAAAGATGTGACAGTTTAATGGCTGAAAATAGCATCTCTTTGCCCCCCACCCTCTCACACCCTGGTGTTTGTTTTATTAAAATATACTGAAATGTATACACTGACAGAGTGCATATCCGTGAATTGTCATGGAGCGAGATCTAACGTGATCCACACCCTGGAAGGCTTCCCCACCCCCACCCCCGCCCACCCCGAATACTGTCCCCCAGCCCAGGATAACCACTGTCCCAACCTCCAGTGCTGAGTGCTTTCTGTCCTTTCTGCTAAGGAATTCTCCAGTCCTCTGTGGCACAAGCTCTCAGGCAATTCAGTGCTCCTGAAAGTCATTCATTCAGTGCTGTTGGTGTCCAGTTAGTTTGTTAATTTTGGTTACATGCACACAGTGTATCTTTCCACTGACTGGCACTCACCATGACCCCACCCCTGTCAGAGGAGCACTGCATTTTCAGTGTTTGATTTCCTAGATTCAAACTGTCATCCTTTGGGTTTGCAGCTGAGTATGGGCAACTGTGCGTACCCCCGGGGTTATCTATTCTGTCCCTCCCCCTCCACTGTCCCCCAGCCCAGAGTAACTGCTATTCCAGCTTCTCTGGATGGAGAGACTGACTCCCCACGGTCTCTATCCTTCATTGTATGAATAGAGCACAGCTTGTTTTTGTGGTTGTTACAATGTTGCTGCTACAATTGCTACTGTGAACTCTCTTACTGTCTTTTAATGGGCAGCTCTGTTGAGTACACACCCAGGGGTGGGATCACTGGCCTATCAGCTGTGTGTTCAGCCTCAGTCCTGTAACAGTTTTGCCAGGAGGTTGAGTGTTCCTGGCCACTAGCCATGGTTGACAGCGATATCTTCCTGTTTTCATTTCAATTCCCTGGTTACTGGTGATGTTCAGTACTTTCTCAGTTGGACATTTGTTTTTCCTCCATTTGTAAATTATTTGTTTATGCCTGCTGGCCATTTTTCTTCTTGGGGAATTAGTATTTTTAAAAGTTAGTTTAGGAGCATTTCATGTAAAAACAATGTGAACTGTTGCCAGAGTTGCTGCTAGGATGCCTTTATAGTTTCTTGCTTTTTCCTTCCAAGACTTTTTTCTTCCTCCTAATTAGTGGTGGTGTGCACCACTGAGTCAGAACTGACCCACAGCTGACCCTGCAGTGGGTTTTCCGATGCCGAAAGTCACACCGCTGGAGACTGCCCATCCTTCTCCTGTGAAGCAGCTGGTGGGTTCAAACCATGTACCTTTGTGCTGGCAGTGCAGTTCCTTACCACGACGCCACCAGAGCTTGCTCCTGATTGGAGAGTTTTAAATTCTTAAATAGGGGAATTTCTCCTCCGTATCTTTGTGATCTTGCCTTCCACTTTTATGCAAAGACATATCCTCATCTTGAGATCCATAACACACTCCTTCTGGATTTTTAGGCGCTCTGGTGGCGCAGTGGGCTAAGCATTGCACTGCTAACTGGAAGGGGGCCAGTTTGAACCCACAAACCACCCTGCAGGAGGAAAGATGGCAGTTAGGATTTATGGTCTCAGGAGCCCTGTGGGGGTGTTCTGCTGCATCCCAAAGCATTGCTATGAGTGGGAGTCTACTTGACTGCAGGGACCTTGATTATTTTAGGTTTTG